TTAGCTTGTTAACTCCTTGCCTGCCGGTTTTTTTTTTTTTTTTTTTTTTTTTTTTTTTTTTTTTTTTTTTTTTGCCAGCCATCACTAAGCCTGGATATTTGAACTTTTTGCCTTGTGTTGGTGATGAACTATGCTGCACAGGCCACTAACTCCCTTGCCGATACTACCCTTTGTGGCTAACTGCGCACGCTAGTAGGATGATTAGCTAAGAGCAAGGAAGTTTATGGTAATAGAACAGATTTTTCCATCATTTGGAAAATTGTTAGCTTATAATTACATTAAAATTTTATTCAATATTCATAAAAAGACCAAAACTAGGATAAAAACTCTTCCACACTGATTTCATAGGGCAATATCCACAGCTACAGGAGAAGCCCATCAAGCGAAACTGAGGGCAACGTGGCCCTCTTCAGGCCCCTCACCAGCAGTCACTGTAACAGCTAGTGTCCTAAGGCTGCGCTACTTTGTCCTGCCTCTTCCCTCTGCTCTTTAGTTTAGCATTGTTCTCTAAGATGCTGAGCGGGAACACACACACAGGTGCTGACAGGTCAGGCAGACCTATGCCAGAAGCCTGGCTCTGCTGGCTGGGAGACTTTTCCAAAGGCATCATACAATGTCGGTAATGAGGTCTGCCTCAGGAGTGCTACTCAACAGATACAACCTGTTTCCTGCAGGAGAGGAGGACAGAGTATTTTACTCTCTGACATACCATTATCAGATCAGACCTACCCCAAACACTCAACTAGCAGAAGACTTCAACCTCTCTCTTACTCCACTTTCTTAGTATAATAATCCACTTGAGTCCTAAGCGTGTAAGTAGGAACTGTGAAATGTAAACAAGGAAACAAGTAGACAGAATGAATACTACGTGTGACAAAGCTGCGACTTACACAGAATAGCTGCACAAAATATTAAAACATTTAAAGAGACTTAACGTAGAAATAAGCTATTTTAATCAAGCAAAACCAAATTTAGTCATTATTTCTAAAAATAAAATTAGACTTTTTGACCCTTAACATCTGCATTTAATAGTATCTCCTAACCAAAATACAGATGCTAGATCAGCAAGTTACAATAAATCTTGTACAGCATACAGTATGTTCACTGTTTACACTTACTTTAATTCTAGTTGGTCATTATGTACTCAATGCATACTTCAACGTCACTCATAATAAAATTTTCACAATTAACAAAAAATGCGACAAGGTTGTCTTAAAACGGCTCTGCTATAAATTGTATAGAATATACAGAATTACAAAGTCAAGTATTTTTTATCAAAATATACACCCCTCCCTGAAACTAACACAAGCTATCAACATTTTAAATGAATAATACAATTATAGAAAATATTTGTAAAATTACTTTTTCATGTATAAATATTCTGCCATATTTACTTTGGTCTAGAATTATCAGCATACAAGTCCACTTAAAAAATATCCACATATAAGGGCTGGGAGACATCACTACACGTAATAATTTTGCATTTGTAGTTAAATCAAAATAACTAAGATATGTAATTAATTGGTTCATAGTCCTAACAGAAAACAAATGAATGGATCACAAGGTTGCTTATCAATATTCTATTTACCAATTTAAAGGTGATTTTCATAAGCCCTTTGTGACTATTTCCTTAACAGAACCCTAAAGGATGGTGCAGGTGTACATATATACAACATATAAAATGAAGTTGAGTTTGTTTGCATTTTCCCATTTTTCTCTACTATATAATACTGTATGGAAGTGAAAATTGATAAACAAAAGATAAAGGCAGATAAAATATCGGGGTTACTTAACAGCAAAGTACTATGATATAAGAAGGTCAACTTGAAGCATGTCCTTTTCTGGGTGTGTAATGTTTTCTGGCCTGCCCAAAACCTACTATGTTTTCTTCACAGAGACATCACTACACATGGTGAGAGAATCTGGAGTCCTTTGAGCTACTTCTTCATGATAACCTTCCAACCTTGGGTGACCTTGCGCTTCCATCTATCAGATCCAATGAGCATGCACGGCTGCTGGTCAGCCTGGAGCTGAGTTCGGAATTTTGCTCATAGTGGTGACCAAAGAATAGGAATGTATTCTCTCGGCCTCCTATCCTGGCAGTTTTAAAAGAATCACGTGTTCCAGCTTTCCAGGAACCTAGTCCACAAGACAGACTACCCTGTGGGGCAATCATATTTTCTGAGCACAATGTTCCTTCTGGGTCAGTTAAATGAACATTAAAAACCTTAAGTCTTTAGTAAGGGGACTAGATGTCTGCAAACATGAAGACAAAGCACTTGGCTTTCATCTATGTTTCTGAGCGATGTAAGTAAAGGGCAGTACCTTGCCTACCTCCCTGAGCCCCCAAGATCAAAGCTACTGCGCCAGGCAAGGAAGATCATCACCTGCTCTTGCCAACTCAAGTCAATGTGTGTGTGTGTGTGTGTGTGTGTGTGTGTGTGTGTGTTTGTCATCCTTTTGTTTTCTATCAGTATGCACGTGTGAGCTGCATAATCTCCAAGACAGGCTAGAACTGTAGGGATCAGGCTTTCTGTCACTTTCAAGTTCCAGGAAATTTATCACCAATTGTGTGCCTCGCAATAAATCTCTCAGACACTCCTTCAGTGGAATGGGATTTGCCAAATTTATTTGAACCCTTAAATCTGTCTAAAACTCCATATTGATGGCCTTGAGATAGTGGAAGACTGCAGAGTTTCAGAAGAATCTGACCCTTCTTCGTTGCAAAAGTATTATACGGCACAGAGTAAATTCTGGGAAGGTTTTTGCTCAGAGATAAGGCATGACCCATGTTTTCTGTGACTGGAGACCAGTTCTAAGAACAGCTTGCCATATTTCAAGAGAACAGCACAGCATTCCATCTAAAAGCATACACATGCTCTTAAATCACATTCAAAATGCTTTCTACTGATTTTTACACCAGTTTTCATTATTTGCAGGTCTATTGCTTATAATTCTCTACAAGGGATATGAACAGTTAAAAGTTATAGTGATTTATATATGTATTTTACAAGGTTTATGTTGCAGAAAAGTAGTTCTAGATAATGTATGAATGTCCTACTTTAGGGTTACTCATTACACACATATTTTCAATGACACTGTTAAGTATTTCATATGTATCCATTAATTTAAACACATTTTAATAGTGCAGAAGCCAGATGGAAATAAATACTGTCATAGCTCATTTACCGTATTACACATTTCGAAGATGCCATCGTTGTATCTGACCCTTATTTTCTCCAGTGACTAAAGACAGTTCAGCAGCCAGCAATCAGCATTTACTAGAAAGTTTTAAATTAGGCTAAAATTAAACTCCTCTTTTGCACTGGTAGAAATACCACAGCTAAGAACTTTCACAAGATATTCACAACATACTTGGGAAACTGGAAGATTTAGCTGTTTTGATTTGCGCACTCCTCATGAAGTTAGTGCTACAACCCAAAGTAGGTTCTTTTTCTGGAGTTTTCACACATGAAATCTTTTAAAAAACATTTCACTCCTTCATGACTTTTAGGTGGACAAAACAAAACCTGAAAAAAACACAGAAAGAAAAACCCCACCAATTCATCTTTTGAAGGTTTTTTCGTTTTTTTTTTTTTTTTTTTCTATTGCCACTCAAAGGGTATTTTCAACAATGGTCTGTACATTATCCTTTTGGTCATTGTCTTCGGAATCAACAAAATGTTGATTCTCTGCAGGATTTGAATTCTCGTGGCACATGTCACTGGTTTTCTCCTGCTGACTTGGGTTTTTGAATAAGTGTTTCTTTTGGTGCATTCCAAGGGCAGCAGCTGTTTTGCAAATTTTGGGGCACTGGAAGCAAGCAAAGCCTTTCCCATTATGCTCCCGAATATGCCTCTGCTCATGATTCCTTTTTGTGGAGAGATACAAAAAACTCTGAAAACAGAACTGACAGTGGTAACGCTTCTCCCCAGTGTGGATTCTTTCGTGGATTTTGAGGGTCTCGTTCAATGTGAATGCCTTGTTGCAGTACTGGCAGATGAACTCCTTCACGCCCAGGTGGATGCGCTCGTGCTTCTGTAAGTTGCCTTGTACTGAAAAGCACCGTCCGCAGGTCTTGCACTGGTACGGTTTCTCTCCAGTGTGACACCTCATGTGCATTTTGAGTGTGGAAGGACTCTGGAATTGCTTGGCACAGAGCTCGCAGATGTGAGGCTTGGAAGTGAGATGCCGGTGGGGCCTGCCCAGGTTTCCAGCTCCTGATATTTTGTCTCCATCGCAGAGTTCACACTGCAGTTTAGGCATCTCTTTATTTTCTTCTTCCTCAAAGGCCTTGTCTGGAGGTGGCTTACCAATAGCGCAGTCCAATTCTGCTGGGTATTTACACTTACCGCTTGGGCTCTTACTCCCATGTTCTTTCTTCCAGTTGCCTTTTCTCATTTTTCTCAACTGTCTGGATTTCTTTTTGGGCTTGTAGTTGTAGTAAGGACGCCATGGCTTATCCGTGGAATCCTGATCGCTTGCGTCATCAAATACTTCACTCATCTCCACGCACTCAGACTGGCAAAGTTCAAGTGGGCTTTCTCTGTGGGTTTCTGGGTCACTTACCTGGGGCACTGTCTCTTCCTGTGTTTGATACTTGGGTCTTCTTCCCCTTTTGTAAAACAGTTTAGATCCCAGAATATGCCTTTTCACAATGGCTTCATTCCCAATTTTCACTGTTATTTGGCAAAGGGGTGCAACGTTGCTATTTGTGGAGGTTCCAGGAAGAGCAGGTTTTGCAATATAAGTTTCAATTTTACTGGTTTCTTCAACTGTATTTGTGGCTTTGCTTAATGATCCCCCAGGATCAGCAACGTATTTTGATTCCTCTGGAATTTCTGCTTTGTTACATGGAATAGTTTTCTTTTTCTCCTTACCGCTTTTGGGTCTGCTTGCTAACCTACCCACTTTATCCATTTCAGGCTTGCTGTCCTCTTTCAGGGACTGACTGACAGCTGAGTCTGCAGGGGCTCTGTGGCTGCTGCTGGCCATGGCAGCAACGGCATTGCTATGCATTATCACGGATGAGAACTGGCTACTGTGCACAATGACCGAGGGTGCTGAGCCGCTGTAGCTGATCACGGAGGCCGAGTTCTCGCTGCCATTACTCAAGGATGGTACAGGCCCATCTCCTGCATGGAGGTCAGAGTTGACAGCGTTTTCAGTGGAAGAGACTGATACCTCAGTTGAATAGAAGTTACTGTCTAGGTCAGTCTTCATTGTTTCCTCTCGCCATTTGGTGCCCTCTGCATTTTGTACACTGGCAGAAGTCGGTATGTCCTGACACGCAGAGGCTTCTAATGGGATGGCTGGGCTGTTTGTCAAGGCGTTTACACTAGTTTGGAAATTCAGTGCAGATAATTCAGAACTGCATGGATTCTGAACAATGTAGGTACCGGGTACAGACTCACTTATGTGCGTGTTTTCTCGAGCATTTTCATAAGACGAATTGCGGTAACTCTTATAAGGAGCTCTCTTGCATTTCATAGGCAGTAGCCGATAAAGCTTATATGGATAGACAGTAGGTTTCAAGCCTCCGTTTGCTGTCTTTTTGTTAATGGAAAGCCTATGATCTATGGCATGGAAAGACTTCTGATGATTTTTTAGTATATAGTAGGTCATAAAAGTTTCGAGACAGAAAATGCACTGGTACCGCCTTTCGCCTGTATGCCAAATTTCATGTCTTGTCCTGTACTCAGCCAATGCAAACACTTTGTTGCAATAATGGCAAGGATATGTTCTTCTCCAGGAGTGGACATTTGCGTGTCTCCGGAGGCTGGATAAAGTCACATAACTACGTTTGCACACAACACAACTGTAGAGCATTTGCCCATTCACAAATTTAACCATGTGATCCGCATCTGGCAAAGTACTTCCTGTACTAGAAAATTCACCAATCCTATTCTCAGATAGTAAAGGTTCTGGGCCTGTAATGGGACCACCATTTTGTCCAATGGTAGGATAATTTTCTAAAAAGTGTTGGTTTCCTCCAGGAATGGGCAAGTGGCTTGACCTCATACAGATCTGTTCATGCCGATCCAATCGGTTCAGGGTGGTGAACTGTTTGTTGCAGTACTTGCACACTAATGGCTCCTGCGTTGGCTTGTGAAGCTGCATGTGGGCGCTGAGCAGAGCACTGCTGTCGAAGGATTTGGAGCAACAGCTACAATTATAAACGAGAGGCGGGACCTCTGCTCCTGGTGGCCCAGGAATACTGGAAGCTTGGTTTTCATCTTCCCTGGAAAAACGGACAGCTCCCTCGTTGCTGGGAGATTTTGAATGAGGGAGAACTGTGGCTGGCTGGGGACTTCTTTCTTGATTAATCTCTGGGTTGGTTACTGGAGGGGGTGGTATGTTTTCTGCTGCTGAATCAGAATCCTGGGGTAAGGAATAGGTCTTTGGTTTTCGGCATGTTTTCGGTTTGGTGGCAAGAGCTTCCCCATTTTCTTTACCTGTTTTCCCAGGTGAACTGTTATCCTGTTCCTGGGCAGGCTGACTTCTGTAAGCCTCAGTGATGGATGAAACTGCGTAGGAGTGCTCGGCGAGCGTGCGCACAGGCTCAGCCTCGTGGCAGACATCGGTCCTCTCCAGGCAAAGGCCGGTTGTTCTCATGGAGTCAGAGACTTTTTTGAAACTTGCCCTCAAGTCCAGTGGAGAGAACATGTTATTACTATTTTCTGTTTCAATGATGGAAAATGCATTTGTGATCCTTGGCCCATTCATGATGGCTGGCTCTTCATGCCTTTTTTCATTTTTTTCTTCTTTAACCACTCCCTTTTCAGTAATGCAGAACACATAGGGACCTGGAGAATTTGAGAAGTTACGGTCAGTGAGGTCTTCCAAAAACGATATTCCCAGCTTTTTCCCTGCAGCTGCCAGATCAGTGACTGTTTCCTGTCTCTTGACGACAACTGTGGAGCTGTAGATATAATTAAGTATTTCCGTAAACACTTCAGCTTTGAGATCATCCAGCTCCAGGACATGGCTGGAAATACAGATTGTATGGCTCCAGAAGATGTTTTTGAAATAAAGGCTGGAAGCGGCCAGGACATTGCTGTGGGCTTTAAATTTGGTGTCTTCCACAATGATAGTAACATCACATAAAATGCCCCGAATGCGCTGCTCATTTAAGATGGAGAGCACGGTGTCGCTGTGGAAGTCATCCTTGAGGTCCCTGGAAAGGGACATGACTGTCATCTGAAACAAAAGGAGAGAAATGATCAGAGTCCCTCCCACAGGGGCTTCTTTCTTTCTAGACTATATGCAACTAATGAGAAAAAAATTGTTATAAAAATTCAGGTTTTTAATTTCATTCCATTGTTGTACCCAAGATTTGGAGTCAACATTGGAATAGGTTAAATCTTTTCATTTCCAGCCTATTCCTCATGCCATCCTATTAGCTGTAGTTGGAAATCCTCCCAGAAAACTTTCCCCACCAAAAAAAAAAAAAAAAAAAAAAAAAAAAGCTGTAACTATAAATACACATCCAAATTGGGGGTGTGTGTTTTTTCCAAATATTAAGGGGTCTCAATATCACTGAAGGGTGCGGTATTGAACCCCAGGGTTGGGCAAAGTCATGTACTGCTATAAACCTAACTCTTTTCAAAGGTAATGTTTACAAAGTGTTCCAAATATAATTCGTGAGGCAAGAAAAAAAAATCTTTTAGAAAGTCATCCCCACTTAGAGGTCCCTGTGTGTGAAGGTATTACATGCTCAGAGCAACAGCAAGCAGGGAAGAAGCCACTCCTTTGCGGCAAGCATCGCTGTCTGTGTGACTGAGTCTGACCACCAGGGGCACCCTGCCTCTCTATTCTAGCGAATCTGATGGGGCCTTTTCTGATTTCCCTTTCGCTATTGCCAAAGTAGTCTACGGTTTTCAAAAAGAATTCTGTGAGGTCCTGAAGGCAGACTAGAAGGAGACAAAGCACAATACCAGGAAAGTATTTTTTTTTTATGTCTACAATAATGTGTCTCATGACAGATTCCTACATTAGAGCATTTTAAAGGAACAGTGGTTCTTGGTCTGGTCTGAGGATTTCATCTTTGTCCTTCTCTACATATGTTACTCCTGCATATGGCACACACGCATGCATGCACACATACACACACATGGTGACAGGAAAAATCTCATCTGACTCTGTATACTGTGAGCCTGGGATTGGCAGAGACTACTAAGTGATATTCTACCAAAGGATCATACTTACAAGAAGAAAACATATGGTACATGGGGACCGGTGATGAACTGAAATACCCTGAAATGTATGCCTTTCATTCAAAAGGCTAAAACTCATTATTTTTACTTTCCATTCCTGCACTTAATAACAAAGCATCTCTCTCTGGTATGTCCTGTAGGTGCTGACTCCAGAAAGTCATGTAGCTTGAGGATATGTCTTTAACTGTGGGTGACAATGACATTCTAGTGCTGGAGAACAGTAGTTAGCTCGTGGCATTTATTCAGTTAGAAAAAGCAGATGGCCACACAAAGATCTCTCATTACCTTTTTGTAAAGCTGCTATTATATTATTATAAGCTAGGACAATTATGTTATCAAACCTTCCTCAATCAATCATCCGATTGATAAATTCTTGTATCAAATTCACCACTAGGAAGAAGTACTTTTCTACTCACAAAGTCTTCAATTCAGATAATAAAAACAATATTGTCATCGCATTTCTCTTAATTCTTGAGACAAGGACATTGAGAACTAACTTTTGTCAAGTTGCAGCCACTGTTAGCTTAGGTTTCTAATCTTATTCTCATTCACTCACTCTGTCTCTCTGTCTCTGTCTCTGTCTGTCTCTGTCTGTCTCTGTCTGTCTCTGTCTGTCTGTCTCTCTCTCTCTCTCTCGTACCAGGGAATGAACTCAGGACCTCATGTTTGCCAGGCAGGCACTTATGCCACTGAACTATCTCCCTGGCTTAGTTTGGGTTTCTGATGCAACCATTATCTTACTTTAAGGTGAGTTCTATCCTTGTTTACCCTGTCTTTTAAAGGCAATTTTCCATGAATCTTTCCCAGACTCATGGAACATTATTTTTATAGGTAAAAATGAAATTCAAGTAAGTGGGATTGCTATGGTTCCCCTCACGCCCCCATCCTTGCCTGGAATCCATACCCACAGCCATCTTTGCTGATGTCACCTTTGTCTTCCCTGAGGTCCCTATAGGAATCATTTTGTCCACTGCCTCACATATTCTTATGTTGTTTGGCTTCTCTGAAGTCCATATTGTATTTCAATTCTTTTATGCATCTTTTTTTTTTAAATTTTTATTTTATTTTATTTTTTTAAATTTTATTTATTTGTGTGTGTGTGTGTGTGTGTGTGTGTGTGTGTGTGTGTGTGTGTGTGTGTGTGTGTGGCAGCTCAGCCCACCAGGGGGGCGGGCTGGCTGGCATGTGGTGCTGGGGGATTGAACCGCGGTCCCTATGCTGTGCTTTGCTAAGCTTGTTCTAAGTAGGTGCTTTAGACCACTGAGCCATCTCACCAGCCCCATCTTTTATGCATCTTGACTATATTGTTTCTTTTCTGACAAAGCACATGCTGAGTGGTTCAAAATGGTGGCTTTCATCTTGGTTTAGGTCTGTGTGGATGCCATCTATTTCATTTTTTTAAGTCTAAGAAACTACTCTTCTTCCAAAATATTCTCCAGGGCCTCTCCCAGTTGGCCTACTTCCATTTGAGAACACAGTCATGGGGAGACTAGCGCCAGGACACCTATGGAGAGTACAATGCAGGGATGCGCATGTCCTCTATAAAAATGGGGTAGTATGTACACACAGCCTATGCATGTCTTCTTCATGCTTTAAATCATCTCTAAACTATACCTAATCTAATATAAATGCTATAAACATAGCTATTATACTATATTGTTTAGGGAATGACAAGAAAAAAATCTGTATACGTTCTGTACAGATGTCATTTTTTCCAAACATTTTCAAGCACTGGTTAGTTGGACCCACAGATATACAACCTACAGATACCAAGGGCCTGCTGTATAGTATTTCATATTTGGCTAAAAATACTGTCAAATGTCCTGGTTTAGAATGATTATAGACAAAGCCCCTCCTGCTTCTGCAGACTCTCTCATCTTCTCTCATGTGGTTCAGCTAGAGGTTAGCGAAAGGCCAGCTCTAACATTTAATAAAATCACTGTCATGCTTAGAGCTAGAATTAATATAATATCATTATATGTTATTAAAATATTCTTATGATTTTAGAAAAATCCATGTCCAACATCTTTCAGAGGAGGATCTCTGTGTGGTAGAAGTCCTGTGAAGTCACAGTTATTAATTACCACTTTGTTTTCTTGACACATGTGAAAAACACTTCATTCTTCTACTTCAGATACAGTATGTTGACACAGAATGTGGTCAGGTGTGGTGCTTGGGAGCTAAAGATACAGAAAGGAGGGAAGCAGGGCTCCTTTTCCAAGGAACACAGAGTTGAGTGCAGAAAGACAACTACCAATTAGTGACTAGAATTGAGGATGGTAGGTCTCCCTTCAGTACAAGTGACAGATGATTAAGTGACAATGTACTTAAAGGGGCCCTTGATTACCTGGCATCAATGAGCACACAAAAGGGGTTTGAGCAGGATGCTCTAATCAGAAGGACTACTACGGGCAAAACCAACCAAAGGTGGCAGAGGGTAGAGTACCTTCAGGAGGCAGTGTGCTTGGAGCAAGGAAACCTGGGTGCAGGAGCCCAACTACCGGGCCATTCCAGTAGTTCAGATCAGAGGGAGCCCCCAACAGGCAGCACAGAGCCTGGGGAAGCGCTCATCACCCTGGACAATGCTGGCTGAGAGGTGGGATGGGGTGGTGATGGGTGATGGCTGCCTCAACTCAAAATTGATTTTAATGCTTATAAAAAATACTTATTGAAGGACTGCTAGAATGCCCCCAGCTAGGCAGTCTTGCTCTTCTGGGCCTTCTAGTTTTTGGTTCACACCATCATTATAGCACACAGCATTGTGCATTTGTTCCCATAACTTTCTGATAAGCTCCTTATCTTCAGAGACAGTCTTACTCATCTTACTCCATCTTACCTGTTCTCTGCATAATATGTCATTGATGACACTGATGATGAGCAAAGATGAGCTGACTCTTTAGACCTTGAGCAGTAATGGCTTAAATTACATATTGTGCTTATAATGTTTCCTGATTTAGAACCTTAAAGATCAGACCTGAAGGAACCCAAATTCTATTCCAGAGCGAAAACGAAATCCTAGGAAAAAAGAACTCTTGTCCATTTATTTTCCAGCATCTTAACTTGGCAGTATTATTTTAAAATTTTTATTTATGTATTTATTTATTTTTGGAGACAGGGTCTCACTGTGGAGTTCAGGCCTTGAACTCATTACATAGCCCAGGCTGGCCTTGAACCCACAGTGATCCTCCTGCCTTAGCCTCCCCAGTGCAACCACACCTGGCAACCTAGAAGCTTTTCAAGTATGTTCCCTGCACCTTGGAGTGTCCTAAGACCCTTTTCTAGGTTCACGAAATCAAAGCTATTTTATAATATTAAGGTATTGTTTTCTTTTAAAAAAAATTGGGCTGGGGAGATGGCTCAATGGAATAAGCGCTTCCCTGGCAAGTGCAAGGGCCTGAGTTCGATCCCCAGTTCTGCAAAAAAAAAAAAAAAATTATGTTGGGGCTGGTGAGATGGCTCAGTGGTCTAGAGCACCTAATTGGAGCAAGCTTGGCAGAGCACAGGGACCACGGTTCAATCCTCCAGCACCACATGCCAG